AGTAAAATATACAGCTTTATTGTCTGAGGACTGCCAAGTACATATGTTTTACCCTTGAGTTTGCTTTAACACAATGTGGGTATTATCACTACAAGCTGATCTGATACCTTAAAAACTCTACAGGCAGTATAAATGCATGTTTTCAAATGTGCCAATACTGTAACAGCTCTGCTTATGGCCCACAAGCTTCCAGGGACTAAACAGTAAATAGGAAAATTTTCTCTTTATTTAATTTAAACAGAAAAGTTCTCAAATCAGTCAATGAGTTATGTTTGTGCTACCAAGATAAGTGATTTTCCAAATACACTAGGTTCAAAGCTGCAACTGTCCTACATGTGGGATTCGTGAAACCTCACTGGAGCATTACATTTTTTTAGGAAATAATTACATATGCTTTCATTATTTTACTTACTCTGCTTTCTGTTCTGATTCCAGAGGGTTTGTTTTCCCTTGCCCCAAATGATCCATTGCCATTACCACAAGCTAAAATTACACATAGCTGGCACATACACTGAGAAATGTGAAGAATAATTTTTAATATGATTTGCTTTTAAAGGCAAACCAGCAGTTACTAATCGGTTGACCTATTTCTACTCTAATTTACCATACTTAAATACACAACCCAAAAAACCCTCTACAGAAAGGAAAAAGCACCTCAAAATTTAACTGGGCTAGAGAAAGAGGGAAATATGCCATTACCTACTGAATTCCCTGGGGGAAAGAAAAATGGTATTTAGAAATAAGATTAACTATAATAAAAAAGAAGAAAAGAAAAGCTTAGGGAAAAGATCCAGGTCATGAGGATGGTATTTCCAATTTTTTTAAAGCTGCAATGCAACATTCCCAAGCTGAGAAAAACATTCTCCCTGCCCTCATGGCAACCCCACCACAGAAATGCCAGTGGCCATCTACCTCCTATTCCAGTTCTTCATGTCCCACACCTCCAAACCCAGAGACTGACTCCTCCAACCAAGCACGAAGCTTCACACATGTCTGAAGGAAAACTGGCAGGACTAAAGACATTGCTTACAAAACAGGTCCCTATGGGTATTAGCCAAAGCGTCTATTTTAATGGTATCATTTATTTTCACCTATTTCAGCCTTTTCTTATTTTTCGCTTCCTTCTTGAGCAGGCCATAGAAAAAGCCTAATCAGTTTCCCTTCTTTTTGCTGGCACAGATCCTGGTCCCAGTGCCGGGGCTGGCAAGATGCCTGTTCAGTTCAGTGGGAAAAGGATCAGGCCCAGTCCTGCAGATGTTACTCATGCGAGTACTCAGCTCCACCCTTCATCTCTCACATCGCTCCATGTTCTACTACTTAAAAAAACAGGGACAAACTGGCCTCTCCTGCCTTCTCGTTGCTCCTCAAAGCTCTTTGTCACTGCTCCCTGGGGACTGATAACACTCAGCATTTCACACCTGCATCTGCCAACATCAGGACATTCGCAAGGGGATCTTATTGGGAACCATCCACCATCGTTTTTGTTTGTCAAGGACCATGGTTCTTCCGGCCTGTGGGAAAGTCAAAAGTCAACAAAACCATCTCGAATACCATGGCATTTGCTCTTTCTTCCAGAAGTCCCAGTTCCTGGAGTAGTGTTTCTTCTTGAGAAACTTGGCTTTCTTTTAAAAACTAATCTTTCCAGGTTCTCATAATTGCAGAGAATAGCCTGAAAATCTGGCTTCAGAGTTTCCCAAGAGAAAATAAAAAGCCAGTAAACAAATAAAAAGAACTGGAAGTTTTTCTTGATTAGATGTAATTTGTTGATTTTTCTTAACATCACTGTTTTAAGGAATTTTTTTTTTTAAAGTCTTGGCAAATTATTTTTGAATGTTTTAGAATGGTGATTTGCTCTGAGGTAAATCCTGATTCAGATTATAATCACTTTTGAATAGTAACAAAAAGTTTCTTCACTTTTTTGTCAGCATTATTCAATATTAATTAACTATATTTGATATATATTCTTTTATAGTAATGCTTTAAACTTCTTTATTGGATTAGAGACAAACTTGGGAAACAAAGTCCATTCCCGAACTAGAAAACCCTCAAGGTAACTAAGAGAATCAGAGTTCATTTTATGCTTATGAAGCTGATGTAGGAATTGTAAATATATACCTGTGAGACACTCTAGACTGGGGAAGAAAAGCTGACTGCTGCCCCTTCACAATTGGGCAATCTACAAATCAGTATGTAATTGGGCTTTAGTTGCTGACCTGTGAAATACGCATTATTTCAGTATTTCCAACACAAATAAAATTATGCTCATTAGAAAAATGTTCAGCTTGCATTACTTCAATACTCAAAACTGCTCTTCCCTAAGCAGAACTGAAATAGCAAACAGGGACATATTTTATTCTCATATATATGTCTACATACACAAGCACACTTTTTTTTTTTTTCCGAACCACAATTTCTGCCTTTAGGAGAGCAAGAAATCATCTTGGGCAACTGCAGATGTTTAAGAAGAAACCCTTACAATACTTGAAGAGAAGGAAAGAAAGAAGTGAGTTGTGTTTGCTTAATGTCTGCGTATATTATGCACGTGGGTGCAAGAGCGCATTAGCTGTAACACTCCCTTTGCATTGTTGATCTTAAAAAAAAAAAAAGGACAGAGGAAAGAATGAGACTTTCAGTGCAGCTGGGTCAGCCCGTACCATGGCACTCGTATCTGGCACTGGCATGGCCCAGCTGCACAAAGTATCTTATGCTAATGTCACAACCCAGCTACTACAAACGAGGGCTCTCACGCAGTGGCAGCTATCTCTAGCAACAGGCTGTGGGGGCTGTAAATACGCAGCCCTGTCTTGTCTCCAGCCACCTGGAACCATGCCTGGCTGAGGAAAGTTCCTGCTCGCAGACTGGCACCGACTAAGATGTTGATGCTCCCAGAATTTATGACCCTCTACACTTTGCCTGCTTACAGTAACTCTCCTCACAAAGTGCCACGAGGTGGGCCGGGCTGTCTGCGCTGGGCTCACCAGGGCAGAAGCGCTTCACCCACCCCACAAAAGAATCCCTATGTGTTTTGCCCTGCGTACCCAGCTCTGACAGCCATCCTTCTCCATAGCCTGCCATCGTAAAACAATCTGCCTCCAGAGAAATATTCACAAGGAGCTATTTCATATGATTTTTTTTTTTACCAAAACACATCCATGGAAGGTGTCTGGACTGACCTCTTAACAAAATATATCACCAGAGCAAAATGAAAATGCCACTTATTTAATTTTTTTTTATTCCAAAAGTGAGCAGCAGGAGGTTGCAGGATTGATTTTCAGGAGCAAGGAATTAAACAAACTAACAGAACCCACCCACAACCACAATGCAGTAAGCTTTGAGATAACTTAAATATAATATACTTGACTCCAGAACTAGTCCTGACAGCCAAATAGGAAAACTACAAGTTACATTGTGAAAGTCAGGCCTGGAAACCTAAGCTGGACTGTTCTGCCCACTCCACCAAGGCTTCTGGGTTCTTGCTGAAGCTTTCTGAATTTTAAGGAAAAAGTTAGGAATTTGGTATCCTGGACCATTGTGTGAAAGGTAGCAATTCCTGAAGAAAACATACTTTGGTTTTGGTGCACAGACAAGGGAGCAAGACTCAAGGACATATTTCTGAGAAAAAAAAAATAGCAACGTGCGCTGCTCTAGCCCATCAGGTGATGAAAAAAACAGCAAGAGAGTTTAAGGAACTGCCCCTGCCATGAAAATAAGATGTTGCAGACAGGGGAAAAGATGGGACAAGATAAAAGTACCAGGGCAACACGGTGCTATCAGGTCTGACTTCAAGTTTCTACATCTGCAAAACATTCTCATGTGTTAACGCTAAAGCATGGACTTTTACTTAGGATTTTAACACTGAGCAAACAAACACAAGATTAAGTCACGTAGAAATTTTAAATTACCATCTCCTTTCCTTCTCAACTCTCCCCCAAGGACTTCAGGTCTAATTCAAGCATAAAAGACATTTGAAGCATTGAGACTATTTCTTAATAGTGAACTATAATTCGGGGGCAAAACAAAGACATCTGATTCTTCTGGGAAATACCTGTTCCCTTTTAAAATGGTAGCAAAAAGTATCTGTTTGGGGGTATGCACACACTCAGAAGACTGCTGTGTTTACAATACAAAAAAGTAACATATCAGTCCATGCTGAGAAGTCAGAGTTGTCAATTGACCTCACATGTGACTGCACGTGGAGCATTTTCCCCAAAAGCAAACCTGAAAGACTTTTCAAATACTAAATGTGAGGTATACGGGGTTTTTTTCATTATAGTGATTTACTATGATCCATGAAGATCCAAATAATCTTTTCCTTGTTTGTTCTTGAATTTTAAATTTAATGAGATAAAAAAAAAATAAAATCAGTCATTTTTTTCCCTTCCCAGATGACTTTTTTTCATGGGTTCTCTGAAAAAATGCTTACATTTAATCAAGTACAGCCTTTCAATCAAACATTCCCTAGGATTAGGCTAGAGAGAACAACAACACAGAGAAAATTTTGCAGTGTGTACAAATCTTTCTTCCACCAAACTGCTCAGCTTTCAGTAGGTTCAAGTAGTAACAGTCTTGAGGACTTGAGGAACTGCAGGACTGTGCATTTCTGCAAAAAACAACAAAACCCAGAAAAAAGCCCCAACCAAACAAGTGACAAAACTCCTTAAACCCTTCCCACATATTTTTCTTTTCTTACACCTGTAATGTTTCATACCATACTGACTTTTCTATGCAGAGAAATCTGAGTGTGTTATCCCACACTTCCACATCATCTTTCAGAATTTTTTTTTCTGCCCTCTATGTTTTTCTGGGAATATGTGCTAAGGAGAGGAGACTCTTTACATCCACATAGAAATTAGACTCCCGTTTTGGTTTTTCCCATAGTGGTTTGAATCAACGACAATCCCAGCAAAAACAACTGAGTTATTCTGGTGGAAACTCCAGAGGAAAAAAAAAAAGAGAACTAGGCTATTGCTTCACTACAGAAATAGATCAGTGATGTATGTTTATGCAGTGGCATTTTTCAACCGTGCACTAATAAGAACACTCAGCTTGAATATTCCACAAATTCCTTAAGATCCTGATGCCTCTTCCTGGGACTAGCTCTTCGTTAAATTTCATGACTCCTTAAAACAGAAAAGAGAAAATGTCAACACCACCTTCTAGCATGAGTGAAAGCTATCAAGGTAACCCTGGTCAAAAAATTGGAATGTCATGGAAACTTCAATGACGTTCAGTGGGATAATGAGTATTTTCTTGCACACATGAAGGGCAAAACAACCCCCAATCTGTTTAAAGACAAATTCCTATCTCCTCCTTATAGTCCTCCCAACCCCCACCTCAACCCGAAAATGTGATTTACCAGAAGGAGCTCACAATGCTGCTCTGGCTGAGAAAGTACACTGAGAACTTCACAGCAAGCCCAAAATAGCCTGAAAAGAGGAAATGGGTGGGGGTGAGGTTCTTTCTTCTGCTCACAAAGGACTTCACCAGCCGATATAGATCAAGTAAAAACAGTCCTGACATGCAGAGCACACTTGGTGACAGTCCTCCCCTCTTTTCCCAGTCTGGTCTATTTTAAGATCACATCACAGGAAACTTGGCAGCTACATGTTTCCGAAAGTTGCCCCTGCCACTTCCACAAGTTCAAATCATTTGTAAGGGCACAGCTCACAGCACAGAAAATTCTGAGGGGACAAAAAAGGTGCTGTTGAGCTACCGAAGGCAGGTCATTCAAAGAAAGAACACAGTAATTGATAATTAAATGAAGCTGAAAACACCCTCACTTTTCAGTACTGTACTACTGGTTTTCAAAGAACTACAACATTTACATGAGCCGTCCAAGTGCTGGTAGTACTTGTGATGGACACTGTGTGTCTGCTCAATGAAAGAAGTCCTCTGCATCAAGGCATTCAGTTCTTTGGGCTGTTCGTCCCTATCATTTTGTTATGGACTTTCTCTCACCTTCTCATCATTTTTTCAGAAAATTTTAACACTGTTACTTACTAATTAAAAGAGGATGTATGTGTGTATGTGTGTAAGTTATACATGCAGACACAGAAGGAGGAACAAAGAACAATACGGTTGTTTCACGTCAAACTTCAACTCTGATTCCCATTAAGCATCGAGTAGAAGGAATGTTAATGGCATGGTCTGATTACAGAAACTGATGATAATTAAAATACTAACAAAAAATGCAAAACCACATAAACATTGCCAGTGCCTTCAACCTTACATTATAAAATCATTCATATGTACAAAAGCAACAATGGGAGATTTTCTGAAACTAGGAAAATAAACAGGAATTATAACTGAGTAAAATTCTTTCTTTAAAAATGGTTTTATTATTTTATAACCATATTTTTTACAAATGCCAGTTTCCCAGTCTCCCTTGTTCAGAGAACTAAGCTTCTGAGTAAAGTGAGCTCAAAAAAATTGTTGGAGAAAAATATTCTGCAGGAGAAGGATATAATACTTAAGCTCAGTGGATTAAAACAGTCAAATAGATGTTTATCTCCCTTTCTCAAAGTAATTTATTTCTGGATATGGGAAGAGCATTCTCATCCCCAAAAGTCAATTTTAAGATACCTGTAAATAACTTAAAATACAGACCCTGACGTTCAATCTGTACACTAACATAACTACGGGAACACCACATATCTTGAGTGGCAATCTAAAGCTATTTAAAAACAAACTAATATTGTCTATGAAGAAAGTGGTGCAAGCCCTTGCCTCTTCATGAATTTCATGTGGTTGGAGTTTTGCATTTTAGTGACATCTGCTTCAAAAGGAAGGCCACCATAGGACAGATGTATTAGATCTCTTCTTGCAAAGCTCACTCACTGCTTTCATGCTGAATATCACTGCCCTGTCATGCGAGGGCTCTCTGTTCAACTTCCCCACACAGTTAGACAGATTAGCTTAAATTGCTGTAAATAACTCTCCTACTTGCTATTCTTGAGCCCTTTATTCCAGGCTACTCTATATTCTTAAACTGTACCTGAGTCGCCTTCATGTGTCATCCCTGTTGCTCTGGGAAACTCAGGGTTTAGTAAACAGGTTAAGCAAATGAAAAGATTAGTCAGTATTGTGCTTCAGATGGATGCAAGATGAGATTACACTGTAAGCAAGTACATTAACAAAATTAAGAAAGAAAGGTTTCTAGAATCTTTTCACTAATCTGAATAGCATGTACTGCACAAAAAGAAACCACCCACAAGTTTTGTGCTTGAGTCTTCCTGACCCTGATATTGAAGACCATTACCAACACCACCAGCTTACTGGGCAAACTGGGATCTTTGGTTGCCATACAGACCACATGACGTGTACATTATGAGTTCCCTGTGATTGAAACAAAAGAAATTGGAAGGAACTAAGACTAAGGTGGCAACAAGATGATAATATTAGTTATAGAAGGCAGAATAGCACAATATACTTACATCTACTCCTCACCATATGTTAATGTGTATTGCTACATCAAACAACGTGAAATTCAATATACTTAAACACTCTTCACCACACCAAAGAAGAACTAAGGCAAGTTAAAGCAAGCTCTATTAAGAATGAATACTGACATTCAGAAAGGCTCAAGATAACATTTCTTCATTTTCTGGGGTTTCCTCCCCTCAAACAAACATGCTAATGACACTAGGGCATGACAAGCCACCACCAGTTCAAACTCAAAGCTTACTAGGGACAAAAACATTAGGTGGGAAGCAACATGACCCAACCAGCATGGCAATGGGCAGGAAATCTACAGAAGCTTGGAAGCAATCCAGTCTCTTCCATTCTTGTCTGTACCTCTGTCACAAACAAGTCTAACCCTCATACCTCCATTTTCCATTGGCCATGAGATAGGCTGTAATACTTATTTATTTATAAAAGCACTTTACAGACAACTGTAGAAAAGTTCTAAACAAGAACTTTGTATTCTAATGTCCTAAAAATAATTCTTCACGTGAAGTGGCTTTACAGTCTTAGTTTTGCCATGTTATATGGTCTCTCAGCATGAATGCGTTCAGGTTCTGGTAATTACACCACCATCTCTGTAGAGGCATCATCCATCATCCATCATCTAGAATCGTTAACAAATCAGCATCCTCAGAACTAAGAAGGTCAAAAGAAAGGATAGAATGATTTCTCCCCTGAAAATTACTTGTTCTGAACAACAGAGAAAATATTTTGGACGTATATCTAATCAAGCAGAGCATAAACTGGCTGAGTTTTCAGACTGAAGAACTGCAAACTGACAGAAAATGTTTGGTGCCAATAACCCACCCTCTAACAGTTTTCTGATGCAGTCCTTTAGCTGTGAGATAAGGTGACTATTATAATCACTCTTTACATATACAGAATGCACACAGACACACACAGAGCTGAAGAAGTTCTTCCAATTCAGTGGTATCAAAGAAAGGAAACCCCCACACTGACACCACTGCACGTGGCAGCACAGCACCCACGAGTCCCTGCAGTGCCACATGCAGCCCACACATATTGTGCAGCCATGATTAATTAAAGTTACAGTGGATGATACAGACAAAGGGTAAGTTGACAAATAGGCACAGCAAGATGAACCCACTGTCCTGAGCACCAGCTGAAAGCAAGTGGTAAAGCCAAGAGAAAAAAAAAAGGCTGTGTCTAAATGGCGGTAAAAGTCTGACTTCTGGAGAAGCCATAAGCATGACACATTCCTTGCCTTCACTATACAACACTCACTTTTTGACTGTCCTTACTCCCAAACCATGCAGAACACCATTTTATCTTCTGAGCTACCTGGACTGCCTTTTTTTTTTTTTAATGACACAGTAATTTCATACAGTGAGACACATTTTCAGAAGTTCTCAGCATTCAAAAATGTTGAGCCTCAAAAGAACTCAGCATTTGCATTTTCTGAATATGTAATGACATATCTACAGAACTGTCTTGTTCAAAAATCTAACCTTGGTAACCTCTCTGGAGATTACATCAATACACACAATAAGAAGAGTTGCTAAAGCCCTCCCCCTCCTGTTAAAAAAGAAAAAAACCCAGATTTAAAATATTGTTCTAGTTTTTAATAATAGCTAAGAGTTAAAACCCAAAAACTAAATCTCTCCTGGAACTCAGGTGCCCCTTCATAGTAAGTGCCACCGAAATTCTCACAGGGATGACTTCGACTCTGTATAACTTTTATGGTGCCTCTAACCTTCTGAGCCTCTCAGCTAGCTTGAGGTACAGTCACAGCAATGTACCCTATCACTCTCATATTCATACATGTACACTTTTTTTTTTTAAATAATAATTTTTCTATGTCACAAGGTTGCTTTTCAGAGATGCACATCACTCTGTTTCCCGTTGACTACTCAGGAATCAGTGGATCCTCATAATTTCCAAAAACTAGGCCATAGAGACTTTACCGCTGAGCTGAGGCTCACTGAGGTGACATCTTCTGCACAGTTACAAAAGTCAAAATCTTTCAAAATCAAACAATGGATCGGGGAAAGACCAGTTCACATTTTTTAAATTGAGTAGACAGAGATCCTCTGTCTACACAAAAACATTAAAAGAGAAAAAATCCTAAAAATCTGGCTAAATTTAATATATTAGCAGTCACATTTTAAAATGCAGCCTATCAGAGATACGTCTCAGTGAAGTGAAAGATCTCTTCTGCAGGTGGGAAGGGTTTATCAAGAAGAAAACAGCCACTGTGGTAAATGATAAGAAATGTAGCTGGGACCACCAGCTGAGCCCCAGGTGTGGCAAGCACTGCAGAGGGGCTTTTAGCTGGGGAGGGGTGTCTGGGGGACCACTGAGAGAAGGGATACCTGCATGAAGAGGCTCAGCTCCTGGAAGGGATGAGAAGGTGCTGCAGGCAACCCGTTGAGCAGGAACACACCATGCTGAACAGGGACTGAAATGGTGAAACATGATGCCAGCAGACAAGGAGTGAAGAAAATCTGGTAAGCTAGGATAGGTATCAGCGGCATTTCAGATAGGTGCCATCTGCCTCCTCCTCTTTAGCCTCCCGTTTGGATTACAGGATGTTGGCCTCCTGCTGACAGAAAATGGTTGGTGATACTGGGTCCTCACTGCAGGCTCCACAGCTGGGGACCTTCTCTACTATTTTCCCCCAAGTTCTCCCAGTGGGGGAGAAGGTTGTCAGTTTAGGTAGCTTTGAGGAGCTGGTTGGAAGGCTTCGGGGGGGGGGGGGGGGGGGGGGGGGGGCGTGTAAAGAAAGGGACTAAACAGTTATAAAATATCTACGCTTTAATCAAATTACTAATTAATTTATTAAACCCTATGGTGAATTTGACTTATGTTTATTTATCGCCCACAGGTGACGGTTCAGGCCTCCCCACCTCCTTCCCTGACCCCGGAAAACTGCTTTATTTCTTCCCGGCTGGATGGGGAGGGAGGGAGCCCTCGGAGACAGGGGCGCGGGAGCCCCGCGGTGGCGAGAGCCGCTCCCGGGCCGGCGCCGGGGACACCTGCCGGCCGCGGGTCCCGCAGCCCCGGCCCGGCCCCCGCCGGGGCTGGCTTTTTCTGGAAACATGACAGCCGGCCTCGGGGAGCCGGGAAGCCGGGGGGGAGGGGGTGCCCGGCAGGACGCGAAGGCGCGACGTGGCGACGGTCGCTAAGGGAGTGACAACAGAGCGATCAACAGAGGGGCTGGTGCGCGGGGAGGTGCGAGCCCCGGGCGTTTATAGCCGCCCCTCGATGCCCGCCAGCCCCGCTGGCCGCCGCGCACGGAAATAGCTGTGCCCGGCGAACCACCGCTCCGCAACCGCGCACAGGTTATTTTTGAACGGCCCCAGCAAGATAAAACTTGAATCGGGGGGGAGAGCGGCTGATTTACGGCCGCTTTAAGGGCAGTGTGCTTGGCTGCGGATGAGTGAAAAGACTTTTCTGCATGGGCAGGAACATTTCCCGTGACAGCGCTGCCGGCAGAGAGGGCATCGGGGATCTGGCATCCCACCCGCGCTGCCCTGGCCGTCCCCCGAGTTGGCAGCGCATTTTGCCCCACAGCCCACACTCCATCCCACAGCAGCTGGCCCTGCGTGGCACACATGGCTCGCCAGCCCTCTTACAAAAGGAAGGGGTAGGCATCTTGGGCCACAAAACTGGCTTTGGGCTTTCTGTCCTCACTCCCGCAATTTAGCACTGCATCTGCTCCAAAAGCCGCTCCGCCTGTTCAAATCGAGCCTCCTGGCCAAAGCCTCTGTACCCGGACAGTGAGGATGCGCAACAAAGCCCAGCTTGCTTAAGCTCATCCTGCCACACTGTACCTTAAAAAACAAGGAAGATGTGGAATCCTCACATCACAAAATTAATGTGCTGAACTGTAGCAAAAGCCTTGACAATCAAACTTCTGTTCCAACAAAGCAGTAACAATAATCTACACTGCTGTGGCAAGGCCCTGAGTCCTGTTACATATACTCTTTTTTTTTTGTCTTGTTGAAAAGGGGAAAAAAAAGAATTAGGCACATTTATTAAGCTTTCAGAGTGCAACAGATTGGGTACCTTTAAAAAATAACAGTATTTTGATGTAAATATTAACTTATCATAAGCTTCCTGAAGCACATAAAGGCAGTATCGCTGCAGAGAAGGTATCTGCTTTCAAGGGGATTTGCATTCTCATTGAATGCTGGACCAGGTCCAGACCAGCCGGAGGATAACCACCCTCTAACCTCCCTGCGGAGACTTACAGAGACGAGACTGAAGCAGTATCATTTCTGACAGAAATCGAATCCTGGCTACTGCACTGCTGGGAACACTACAGACAAGAATTAAAAAAAAAAAAATAGGGAGGAATTGGAATTAAAACAATTCTTTGGAGCTCATTTGGGTAATACCTTGTCAAAGGACATGATATGGCAACACACTGTATATTTACTAAATGAATGCAAAAGTTAGGCAAGTGTCTGCTAGCATAAAATATAATTTTAACAAATGGAACGCACAAATGCTAAAGCTGACCAGTTATAGAACTGCTCAGTTACATGCCCAGGTTAACCAAGCTAAATAGTATGTCCAGTCACAGACATGAAACCATGGAGGGCATCCAAAAAATACAATTTATTCACATTTCCGTCAGTTCGTATTTCAGCACCAGCATCTCAGAGGACAGGATAATTCCTAGCGATATACCTCCAAAGATTCAGAAACAAGTGACCTTCATGGAAGCTTCTGAATATTAGGATATTGCATTACGGGTGCTGGGTACTTATTCAGTACTTCCTTCTTGATGTAATGCACCCAGGGACATAGATAAGAAAGTCCCAGGACAGACTGATGAACAGCTTCCAGGTATTCCCTATCTTGCTGTACTCATTCTGTTGTAGCAGTAGAAACCTATGAGCAGCCACAATGTGAACGGGATCAGAAAAAAGGTAAGCTAGCAAAACCACGGAAGGCAGCACAGGAATGGGAGCAAAGTGACTGCACAAGGCAGCAGCCGCTCAGTTTTGCCAATCTGGCCAATAAAAGAGTAATCTTCATATACTATGTTGAGGGCCAGTGAGCCCTAAGATTGACTGAAAAGTAGCAGCATCTGAATTGTGTTAGGCCTACAGAGACCCTTAGCTGTGGCTGGACTGTCTGCGACAATATGTCTAGACTACAAGAAAATGTAGTGGTTTAAAATGTCCTAGTTGGCTTGTTTTAGCTGTAATACTGGCAACCCAAATTACAGATACGCCAAACCCAAATGGCAGTCAGACACAAAATCATGACGTTACAAAAACACTAGGTACAATTTATATTTCAACTGATACCTTGATTTGCACTTCTTTAAGTTATAGTTTCAAATACTCCCCATTAGAATGTTGTTTTTTCTGTTTTGTACCATTTCTAGCAGAAATATTAAGACTGGTCTGAAGAATGTATGGACAGAAATGACTATCAGTAAAAGCAACAGGAAGGGCAATAGAGCAAAGTTAAGAAAAAACCTGAAACATTTTGATAACCATGGACACATTGACAACAAACAAACAGGTAAGCACTGGGGAATGTGGTGTTTGCATCAGGACCAGGAAGTTTGTGCCCTAGGAAGCCCACAGCACGGATTAGCAGAAGACCTGTGCCCTGACAGGAGGAGGATGGCAGTGAGGTTGCATCATGCTGTATGTGCCACTTCTCTTCCTGTTCATCCAACAGGGGAGATGACTGTAGCCATAAAGACACCCACCGCAGGCAAACCCAGGAAACAGCCTGCAATCTAAGATCCATCTAGGCTTAGGTAAGCAAGACTCACAAGCGAAAGGACACACCATAATAATATGCTTGACTGCCAAAGGATAGAGAAGACCTACACCAAAAATAGGGCATCGCAGATGCAGAAGTCAAGCAACATGGTGAGAAGTTGGTGGGTGTCCTCCAGGGAGACAGCTGATCCTGGCCAGATCACTGCTTGGGCACACATCTCTTAACCCCCTTCTTAAAAGCATGGGGGTTGTGAGTGGGAATGAAAATAATAAGAGAACAAGTGTGGGACATGAAAATCAGGGTTTTTTTAAAGCAGATATCGCCTTCTCTTTCCATAACGTCTCACTGAGGGTTTTTTTATATTAATTTTCTTGCTACTATGTGTTAACAAGTCAGGTAAGCTTCTCAGATAATCATGAGCATCTCAGAGTTGAATGCTGCAGAAAACTGTGGAATATGCAATAAAAGCACAAGAACTAGCAGGCAATACTGCAAATAAAACATTTTAACACACTAGCACATAAGAAGGGCAAGTCAGTGATAGAAAACCCCACTGCTGTTTATTTTACCTAATTAATGATTTTTAAAGTACAATTTGCTCTGTAAGAGTGCTTTAAGAGAGTTTTCTAAAAAAAAAAAAAAAAAAAAAAACAACAAAAAACCCCCCACTTTCTTCCCTGTTTTTAAATGCCCTCTTGGCACATTTAAATATGCTCCAGGAGAAGCTTCATAAGCAGTGCAAGTTCAACAAGGTTTAGAGTATGGATGTATGTTAATTAGTTGTATAGAGAAAATGTTTGCTGAAGAGAGAGGTGAAGGAATACACAGTAATTGTGGCCTGCCTCTAAGAATGGGACAGATATACCAGATGAGACAATACTTGTACATCAAGAGACCTGCCAGTGTTAGTGCTTTGCCGTCACATGTCCGTGTGGGTTTTTTCTCTGCCTCCACATCCACACGAATCTAGGAATGTTTGCCCAGGGGAGGCAGTTCTTTATATCTGATACAGAAATCAGAAGGTAATGCAGTTTGCTATTAGTATTTGAGCCTAACATTAGAAAAAAACAAACTAGAAAAGAACAGGGAAATCTTGTAGGAGAGACAACCTGAAGTTATTCTAAAGGTGCAATTTCCTCACAGAATTAAAGCTAAGACTTACCTGAAAACAAACTGACTCTTTTGCTGAAATGAATTGCTCTCACAGATTTGAGGGGGAGGGAAGGTGGGGTGTGAGTGTCACATCCCTAGAGGTACAGCTAGGTAACCACTCCGCTAACACTGTACTGTGAATCTTCCCAGTACAAACTAGCTCTGAGATCTGGTCTGTTGTTTCTGCACCAAAACACTTGGTTCAGTTACAGGTGTGATTCTTACCTAAACCGTTCACACCGGCACAGCCTGTAATACAGACACACCTATAGTGGTATAGAAGTTTCTCTGTGATGCCGCTACACCTATTCACACATGGGAATACTCTGATACTGGACAGAGAATACCAGTACTGAAATCAAACTGCATCACTTTATTTTCAAAATAATTTGTTGCTGCGGTGCTGCAGAGGGCCTGCTTCTGCATGCTGGTTGCTCTTCAAGCACCAGTTGCTGTTTTCTGGGATTTATGACTGAAAGGATTAAAACCAAAGAAAACTAAAACAGATCTCCAAAAGATACTAATAGCTCCTTCAAGCTCCGTCACATTCTAGATCTCATTATTCCAGTAAAATATTCCTCAGGTAATAGAAAAGGCTTTCTAAATTTAAACTTTTTGTACCAAAATGTAAATTTCTAATTCATCATACAAATATCCAATATCCCAAAGACAACCATCCATGCATATGATAACTAGGTGATCATTTGCCCCATTTGTACATACATTTAAAGTGCATCTGAAAATTTGGGCCATTGTAAATGTATCTGCCTGACACTGTTTTGCAAATATAGGGCTAATGCCCTAGAAGCACTCAAATGCCCAGTGGCATCAGTGGGAATTGAGGTCTTTCAACATTCGGCAGAACTGAGCCCTTTTTACATGTGGATATAAACACATTCACTTGCATATAGAGAGGTTTTGAATAAAATGCAGATGGTGGACAATAATTTTCTATTCAGCTGGACATTCTCAGAGAGGACCTTCCTGACTATAGTTTTAACATTATAAATTAAGATTTGGCAGTTCATTTAAACATAGTTAATTTTTTTCTAAATATTCTGGATTCTGGTTCTCAGCAAATAAAGAAAACATATTACCAGCCAGCAGACCAATCATAACATTAACTCTCTTGCACTTGCCGATAACCTTTAAGGAAGCTTTATCTATTTATATCACAGCCATGAAAACATCGAAGCAGCATATTAATTAATAGTGATAATAAAAAATAAAGCCTTCAGTCATGTGTTCCATTCAATCACTTACACCATATATTTTTAAAATGAACAAAATACATTTGCAGTTTGCCGGGGAATTATTTTAAGGTCCTAGTATCCCTTAGAATCTCTTCTCACGTCTTTAGATGTCTGCCTTTCGCTCGTGCGGACTGAAATGTCTAGACATCCAAATTAAGGAGTGACCAATCACTGACAAACTGATCTCTCTGCATACAAGGTCAGTGCTACAGAGACACACACACGCACACACACACAACACACACACACACACATACTGGCAGCAGGCACCGTGCAGGGGACCTTTATTTGTGCACAAAAATATTGATGTTGCTAAGTGATACACAGGCGGTCACTAGCCATAAGTCTTTGTGTTTGTTTGTTTATTGCTGTGTCTTCTTTCCCAAGTAAACAATGCAATGGTGATGCAGAGATAGAAGAACCCATCTAAATTAAACATAATTTATTATGTCTGCATGGTATCAACCTATTATTTTTTTTTCCTGATTTTGTTCTGTTAAGTCAGAAGGAAAAAATTTAGGAGGAACTTGAAAGCACACATGTCCTGAATGGTCCCAACCATCCTATTTTCCTTCAATTAAACAATATGAACAATTTATTTGCAAAGGTCCCTCTGCATCTTAAGCTTGCAGACACCAGATTTAAGGAAAATTTTTTATGCTAAAATAATGATCCTATATTAAATTCATATGTCTAGTCACTGGAATAAGGGGTAGTCTGAAAATAGTGTCTTATGACATCACATAATAAGTGTGGATGAACCTTCCTCATCAAAAAATTCAGTCCAGATCCATTCAGTTCCAGAATCCAAGTTTCTATTTTAAAAATTTTTTTAAAAAATCCTCCCAAAACAAACATTCACACACAGAGAGCTTTTTTGACTCATCCCAAATTTGAAAAACTTTATTTTTGGTGGTACTAAGAGTAGGTTTCTGTAAACAAAACTGTTCATGACAGGGGTCCTGTTTGGAGTTTTCAAAATAAATTGGCTTTCTTGACTTCAAAGAAGGTTGAGTATGGAGAAGCTGGGTTTCCTTAATCACTTCCCTTGACTAGCTTTCAAGGCTTCTGGGGTGCCCCAGAAGTGCTGCAGACCCCCAAGCTTCTGAGCTGTCCTGGTCCAATGCAGCTTCCCAAGGGAGATACCCAAGCAAGATACTGGAGAGCCCTGCAAATGCAGGTCCCCAGACTTCACTGCACTGCCAGCAAGCATGCTGGGAAGAAATCAGCCTGCTTTCCTCCTGGAAGTTTCCAGATTTCCGGAAATTTTTACAGTGAACATGGCAGATCATTAGATTTTTTTTCCCAATAGAAAAATATTTTATAGAGCTTTGCCATAACAGAGGCACAACTGCAGTGAGGCCACTCTCCTTCTCAACTACAGGTAGTGCTACCACCCCCTGGAACTACTACCTAGAGAGAACATATTATTAGGAAAATAGTGAGTGTATTTTGACTTTGGTTTTATTTTAGCAGCAAGATACAAATATGACTACCAATGGCAACTGGCGGTGGCAAGCACTGCTTGAGGAGCGTTTCAGAACTTCTTACACCCTACCAGAAGAGCAAAAGTCTGCCCAGAAGTATAAAGATTAAAATGAACTGGGAACTAATGTAAAACAGTAATTCAGGTAACTTGGTTTTGGTTTCGCTCTAGATTACTACAAGTCCTGTAATAAATCACAAGACAGGTGTAAACTTCTGGTTTTAATTGTCATGTACATACCAGTTCCTCCAAAACTCTGTTTCCCTTGCTCCCACTAAAACAACAACAAGTGTACAAACCCAGTATTCTGCCAAGTGACTACATTTTGAAGTCTCAATACATAACCATACCCAAAGCAGTGCTGCTCCAAACTGTTCAGGCAGCTGAATCAGACAAGGCAGCCATCGGTCCAGCAGGCAACTGCAGGGACAGGACAGCTTGGTCCCTTCCTCCCTACATCAGTAACTTGCTGATTCAGTCACCGGCCCTTCTCTGAGTTTGTCCATCTGTACAATGTTAATTGCAACAATACCTTCCAAGCAAAAGCGCTGCTTTAAATTCCAGAGACCAAAGACCAGAAATTTTCCTGTTCTGGACAAAAGCAATTCTTTGCCTTATTCTCAAGCTGCTTGGACAGCCAGCACTGGGAGCAGACCATTCCTGCAGTAATTCCTGTACTAACCCTTATGCACCCAATCAATACTTTCCATTAAAACCATTATCCCTGTAGATGTACTCTGGACAAATACTTCAGTTGTGAGGTGAGGAAAGAAAAGGGAAATGAGGACATTAATAAAGCACATTTTCCTCAGAAAAGCTGTATGTTAATTAGAAATATTCTTTTCTAGCTAATAGACTTCTATTAGTAGGAAGAATGAGATGCTGCAAACAACAGGCCTTAACAACAATGGCCCAACAATGAAGGACCTGACTTGCCTTCAACTACAACAGGACTGCTAAGGCAATCAACACACACTGTGAAGAGCACATGATCACACATGAACTTATTTATGTTACTTCTTCTTCCTCTTTTCTTAAAAAGCACTTTACATCTCATTAAAATTCTAATTGTCCTACTGAAAGTTCGTGCTTCTGATTTTGCCCGTGCAGAGGAGAAAGCTTATTCACAAATAAACCTTTCAGGACAGAAAAATGACAAGGAAGAAAAGATCAAGTCAGACAAGTATGACTGGGAGTTCAGATGTAAAGAATTCAAATATTTCAAAAGATGTCTTGATAGGTATATTCCCACCTCATTCCAAGCAAATAAGATTAGCACATATTACTGAGAATTTTATGCCTCCGTAGAAGGCCCTAATTATATTTCACACTGCTCTGAAGATTCCTGTAATATACACACATCTTTAATGTGGAATTTTATACCCTATTTATAGCATATAGGTTCTTTTTGATATTATTACTTTTCTATGAAAGTTCCTTTGAAGTCAGGTAATTACCTTAAGCGAAATATTTAGCCTGTTGTGAGAACTGAACCATGAGATTTGTGCAGAACAAGTAAGTCATCATGTACCCAAATATAAAGGTTTCTGAGCCACGAGTGGGGATGGAAACATTAATTATGAAGACAAAGCCAGGAATGCATTTTAGAAGTAATTTAAAGTGAAAGCTGATAAATCTGTATAGTACTACACCTTGCTTCATTCATGTCCCTACAAACTATTTGAGCCAAGCACTAAAGAGCGTTAATTTCATTACTAGTTAGTATCCTTAGTAAAGCCCACAGGTTACCACAGACCTGGTCAGAGTCAGGCTGTAACTGTGAAGAGCTTAAGAGGAGCTGCTGAGATGGCTAATCATGATATGCAGTATCTTAAACCCAACCGGAAATGGCACGTCATTAAAGACTTGTAAATCTGGATTTTTCCATACTAGATGAAACACTGCCTCTTTCTCTGCAAAGCTATGAATTTCTTTAGTGGGATAAATCATAGAATCATAGAACCAAATTACATATGGCTACCATATATCAATATATAAAATTATGTCATTTTTATATTGCATTCTGATTTAGGACTGAACCATGACCACTTTTATTTGACAGCAACGTTTTGAAGAGAAGTCACTTGTAGGGAGAAGTCACCAGAAGATTCCCCTCTTCACCTCCTCAGACACAGTTCCTTGAAAATACCTAAAAGTACAGGATGTTAAAACACCATGCCATATGGTCTGCAATTTGTCATGCAAACGTTATCCTTCATATGCAATGCATACTATAACACATGAAACCAAAACTTCAAGATGTAACAGAGCCATACGTACAAGCGCCTACACTCATACACACACAAAAGGCAAGTCAGGCAATGCAGGACCACGAAACCAATTTATTATTATTTTTCACAGATGGAACAAATTCACTTCATCTGCTGCATCCAGACAGGTTTTCCCAACTGCATGCACTCCAGTAATCTGAGAATTGAAACTGCTGTTTCTCTTATATTTTTTGCCTAAGCAAAAGTCTAGCATCTTATTAAGAATGCTTAATAAAACCAACACATTAAAAACAGTCAGCAGGGAGTGCTGCAATTAGATGCTTGCTCTGTGCCTACATGAAAATATCTTTCATCCTATATGGACTTCCAGAAATTTCATGGTGCTGCAGTAAGAGAGACCTCCTCCCTTTTTGTTCATGTGAGATATAAGGTCATTGATTGCTTATCACCATTACTTTATAGAATAAAACGAAATTACTTGTAAATTGCCAAAAAATATAAAGTTTCCCACCCCATATGGGATCTCATTACACCCAAACTGAAGACACTGATACTGTGGTTTCATTCCCCCAAAACTTAGGGGTGGAGGAAAGACTAGGACTAAAAAAGCAGATGAGATATAGGACCATAAGAATGTAAAAAGCTAGAAGAAACACATTTAAGATGACAGAAGTATCTACATAGATTATATGAAACATTTTCCTTTACAGAATATAAAAGTGCTATTATGTTCTTGGGGGGGGGGGGGGAATGTTTGGACTAATAAGGGCAATCATAGGGAAGACAGGCGTAGAATTCCTCTCCATTGAGTTAGTCAGATGCAAAATTCACTTTGCTTGCTGTGGGATTCTCTATATAAAGCCAGAGTCCACTGAGTCTAACAGAGTGCTTCATGTTCTCAGCGTAATTCCTTCCATCTGAGATGCTCAGTGGTTTATAGGAGGCACTCTTCCATCTTGTAAAATTGGCTGCACATAACTTTATTACAACATCTGCAATTCTCTGTATTCATATTCTTCCTTCCCAGAGTAACCTACTGCAGGGACTACAGCATATACATGAAAGAAACCAAACTGTCAGGAGGAAACTGCAGGAGGGAATAGGAGAAAGGCTCTGAATCACAGACCCACAGAAGGGCTGAGGTAAGGAGGGACTTCTGGACGTCATCTCATCCAACTCCCCTCTGCTCAAGCAGGGCCACCCAGAGCCAGTTGCTCATGGCTGAGTCTGGCTCCTTCCAGCCTTGCTCTGGCAAATGAGAAGTTCTGTTCAAGAGGAATAATTGTGACTACCTCACTCCAGGGATGCCACGAGACATAGTCCTTTCCTAAGCCACTTCCACAGCCTATCTGTTACAAAACACTCAACCTTTCTATAAAGGCTTCCAGTCAGAGCCTGGTGGCATTTGACATCAGCTTTTCTGATACCTCAGCCTGACACAGGAGAATTCCATTTTGTCAGAACTTTGTTCCCACGGCTGTATCCTAGTCTTCAAGCACAGCAAAATGTCTTTACCAGAAGCGAGTATGCAAACAAACAAAAAAATGCTGCAAAAATATTTAGTGTGAAGAAAAGCCACACCCATCATCTAGGCCTGTCCAAGTCTGTCCTTTCAACATATTTTTATCCTCATTTTGCAGGTTTGTTGATTTATTAACTAAAAATTTGTCCATGTGAGTCTCTTGCACATTCGTCATAGTCTTTATAAAGATATTCCCTGCAAATGCCTTGAGGTCACACTTAAATCATGGTGTGAACTATGCCAGACATCGAGTTTGTGAAAGAGCTTCTTCCAGGACCGTGCGTGATGTCTGCCTCTCTGCGGAGAACAATCCAGAAATGAGGTGCAACTACAGCAGGCCTTTCCCTGGCGCCCAGCAGCCGCCACGTCTCCTCTTGGTCACGGCTGATTCCCACAAGATGGCATGGCACAATTTAATCTGAGTTTAATCTGAGATTTTAAAGGATGACTCCTTCACTGACGCAAAAGTCTGCCAGCGCACTGCCTCGCTACACATCTCTCACGATTCACTTCTCTCACTGAGTGTCTTTGCAATTTTTCCCTGAATCAAAACATTGCCGGTCTCTCCCTGCTGACAGCAGAGCACTGTTTCTTTTACAGCTCTCCTGCAAAATGAAGTTGCAATAACTTGGAAATAAAGGTAGTTGTAAATCATGCGATCTTCCTGAAACACCATTCAGGTAGTGAAACATTGAAATGGGAAGGAGTTGGAAAGAAAAGGAAAATAAGACATAAAAGAAGAGTGTGGTTTGTGTTTGGTTTAAGATTTTTCAGCTTTGATGGTTGCTAGTGCTACTAGTGTTTTGATTTAAATCAGTCTTTGAACAGACTTGACTTAAATCTTTAGTAAGAAATTTAAACTGAAACAGAAAATTAACACTAGTTCATCAGTACAGCCCCTAAGTTACAAAAAATCTCCATTATCAAGTAGGAAAAAGAAGAAAAAAAATTACATTTCTTGGAGTAGGAGAGAAAAACAACCTTTTGCCAAAAGCTAAGCAAAAGGTTTCCTATTCTTTTCACTATCTTTATGGTTTCTATCACTTTTTCTGCCCAAGACGATATTTTAGCTGCCTATCTAGGAGCATACTGCAGAGAAGCTCCCACATGGCTGGATGTGTCCCTGCCTGTCCACAGCTGGGGAGAAAACAGTTAAATTCAGCAGCAAAGCAACATTGGAGGCAGCAGCCTCCGGCAGCCATGGGAACAACAATTTCTCTAGACTAGAGGCTGAAATTTCAGAGGGAAGTAATCCCAACCGTCATAGCCAGGTCAGAGAGGGGAGCCCCAATGGCACTGGCTTGAGTTTTAAGGCAAAATATTACTGTAGACATGCATGGACCTGACTTTACCATCCTCTAAAGGGCCATAATAATGACAGCCACATACCTGCAAGAGGTAATAAAGCAAAGCAGGAATTTTGCCTGCACAAAATGTAAACATCAAAACAGATGGCGCAGTTATGTTAAACAGTTAATGTTTGCAGAGTGCTTTGAAGATGCAAAGCACTGTAAAGGTACTAAATACTTACAGTCTTGTCTAGACATCATCAAGCTCATTTTTAGATTGCAACCTTTTCAGGCCAAACAGAGCCTCTCTGTATAGGGTTGCACTATTCCTTCTGTAACAGGCTCCAATCTCAGGATGTATTCACAAGAGAGGAATAACAGAGGAGCAGCTTCTGAAGATGGAAAGCTCAAGGTAACAGTTCCTGCTAAAGCAGCAGGAAGTAGCACAGCAGAGAATAGGGCTAAATATCATCAGGGAATCAGATGGAAGTCAAAAATGTACTATACCAGATTTCACCAGAGAAACAGGTAAAGATTGAGGCTGTCACAAAAGAGTTTGCCATAACAGTGAAAACTGTTTACTTGCACCGACAAGCCCTGATGAGAAAAAAAATCTTTGACAGAATAAACTACGTATATAGACTTAACAGTGCTGTGAGAGGTGCAGAGGCAATCTTTGTCATCTACAGTCCAAGTATGGAATTTAACAGAGTTATGAACAATAAGATCACAGATTTTGTTGAGGCTTGGGAAAAATCCATCTAAACCATTTCAAAACTCACACTTTTTATTTGCTCTAAGGAATGTGGCATGCAAATAAAATTAAACTCCAGAGACTTTATTCTGCAATAAGCGAGACTTTTGTGTCAGATTGCCTTGCAACCTAACCCAAACCTTACTATTCTGATATTAAGAAACCACAGATTTCAGAAACCTTTTCCACTCACATTTCTCTGTCAGCTCAGACTTTAAATGAGGAAAGAAGGCTGGTGTTACACAAAAGGTGCAGACAGCTGAAACACGTAAT